CTATATAGACGAGCAAATGAACGTTTCGCACCGAACTGCGTTCGACAGGTCGACAGATTTGGAGGAGAAAGCATCATGGTATGGGGAGCCATGTCTTACAACCAACGGTCAGACTTGGTCATCATTCGTGGCAATTTGACGGCACAACGGTACATTGATGACGTCTTACAGCCACATCTTCTGCCGATAATCGACCAACAGAGGGAGTTGTTTCAACATGACAATGCCCGCCCTCATACAGCTCGTGCAACAGTGGCATTCCTACAGAATTCAAACGTCAACGTGATGCCGTGGCCCTCCAGATCGCCAGACATCAATCCTATCGAACATCTGTGGGACCAGCTGGATCGTCGTGTTCGTGCACGTACACCACAACCGCACACGTTGGTTGAACTGGCCGCAGCACTCCAGGAAGAGTGGAGAGCAATCCCCCAGGAAAACATCCGCCGTCTGATTCGTTCTGTTCCGAGGAGGTGCACTGCTGTGATTAGAGCTCGTGGCTCTACAACGAGATACTGAAGACAACGCCCCCTAGCGTAAATTGAGAGTTAACTGTTACCTTATACCGTGCTGACCTAAGGTTCACCATGTCAAATTTCATGGCATTATCTTTAAAAATACAAATGTAATAACCAGTTAAAATTGATATAAACATTACCAAAATAAACAGGGGTTGCGTTTCTTTTTTGAGAGAGTGTACATATTTTATGGTATAGAGAGCATCTCCGACTACACCATATCCTTCCAATATGTGTCTCCACAGGAGATTACGATCTGGAGTTTTACAACTACAACTTACGACCGTATGGCATTGTGTGCGGCATTCAGGAATTCAACAGAAAGATAAGGCGAAACCGGAACGTAGGAGATCAATACATAAGTGAAGAGACACAGAGGACGTCTTTTGTCTCATGTCTTGATCAACTGGAATGTTCCATCAAGTATTTGGTGTTAGTATGTTTCCAAGTGCATTAAAAAGCATTACTACTATTGCTCATATACATAGCTATTATGCTGAGAGAGCAAATCGATACGACTACGGACAGGCACTATGGACTATTATACTCTTATTGGGAAGCCTGTTGTATGTGCTAAACGTGTCACGCATGGCGGAACAAAGAGCTTCAACGTGTTTCCGATATTGTTCACTACTTGTCACAAAGAACGGCCTCTCTGTACGGGAGTAACCAACACTGTTTGACAGCTGTCCTTCTATTAAACGACTTACTTTTTCACACTGTGATATCGATCTTCACAAGACGTTTTTTTTTAACTGTTTGAACTGTAGAGCAGCACGGGATTTCCATCCACATCACTTTAAAGAAGGATAAGAATAACAGCTTCCTTATAGCAACAGGAATGACGTTTCGGCATAGGTTCTATATATTCTTACCTTTCCTTTGCACTCCCATTTTAAAATGAATCTCTAACAGTAAGTGTGTGAGTTGAGTTTTAAGCCGCACTCAACAATATTCTAGCTAGATGCTTGAATGGCATTTTAGAAGATGATATTTGATGAACATAGAGATTTTTTTCTGGGTTACATCTTCTTTTTATTCTCGAGTACAGCGTTTCAGAGCTTGTTCTGGCCCCATCATCAGGTAAACTGAACAGTAACTGTTAACTCTGGCCGTGACGTCACAATGCTTATGACGTCACAATGCTATGACGACGCAATACATGTGGTGGTCAATAGATGCAGATGACATGGCTCATAGAATACATGTTATTATGAATATATATATAAGAAGCCTGCAAAATTAATGGATCAATTTTCTAGCTATATGGCGGCAGTCTGTAAATAATCGAATCTGGACCAGACAATGCTGTGACAGCATGAGCATAGATATACGTAACTGACATACGATGACATGTGTTCAACAAGTCAGTAAGCCTGACCACCAGTCAGTCGCGACCTTACTACAAGCATGGGTTACTAAAGACCTCTCAAAGACGTTATGTTATAACATGATTATAGTTGAATCAGACTCATTTCATTTATCTTTTGTCAAAGATCACGTTTTGGGTTATGAATGTCGGTGTAAGACTATAGTGAGTGAGTGAGTTACAATTTATCGTCACATCGGCAATATTTCACCCATATCGTAACGAGAGAAAATTGTACGCTAATAACAAATATATGAAGCAAATCCTGTCAACAAAACACAGTATAACAAGTAGATTATTAAATTCGATTCAAAACTAGTTTGGCAGCATATAAAGTACTAAATTGTTTACTAACAACACAATATAAACACAGGGCTATAGATGCCAGCAACTGAAGGTAGATCACCATACTGTGGACCATGGGGACCTCTATTACTTTGTTACCTTCATGTACCCAAGCTGGGTTTACGTCATCCCCTCAGCCGCTGCCAATTAATTGTAGTCAAATTGGCCACAGAATATAAGAACGCATATTCAACGATTAAAACAGTGGACTCTCCTTAATATGTTCATGCTTAGTTAGTTTAGCGTCTGACGCCACCTTGATATGATTGGAATCAGACCGTTTTATCTAACATTGAGAGACAGGTAAGAGCAAATTCTTTGAACCTTTTGAAGTGTATGCCCAAACTGAACGGCAGAGAAAACTATAAAAAGTATAGTGGTGAGTGCATGCGTGCCTGCGTGAGGAGTGAAACAGAGCCATGCATGTGAAGAGAAGCATGGAGGCCTGTCATTAATTTGCATATAGCTTTACACAATAAGTCCATGAAAGATCAGTTATAGTGTCAAAGCACCTATAACGACTGTTAATAACTCCAGCTATGCGTGTACCACAGTTGGGTATTGGCTGCGACGATTAATACGTGGTCTGTCACAAAGGCTGCTAGATGACAATGTAAGATAATTACTTTGAACGTCATGATATATCAATAAGGAAATCCAAATAGATCGAACTGTAAGTACATACCTTCATGTGATGCTGAGTCTGTTACGCGGGGAACCTCAGTACACGGACAAACAGAGCCCTCCATCTTATAGACGCAAAACATCCTTGTGGGGTCATTATATGCAAAGGGGCTCCTCTATTACCAGCAAACCCCGTTCCAAGTCTGCTTTAGAATTAGTGAGTGAGTGAGTGAGGTTAGTTTTACGCCACACTCGGCAATATTCCAGCTATATGGCGGCTATCTGTAAATAATCGAGTCTGAACCAGACAATCCAGTGATCAACAGCATGAGGATCGATCTGCGCAATTGGGAACCGATGACATGTGTCAACCAAGTGAGCGAGCCTGACCACCCGATCCCGTTAGTCGCCTCTCACGACAAGCATGGGTAACTGAAGATCAATATTCTAACCCTGAGCTTCACGGGTCAGCAGCAACAGGAGTAGTAGTAGTAACGTAGTTATTGTAGGGGCAGTAGTAGTTGTTGTAGGAGTAGAAGGACTGGTGGTGGTACGGGTCTGAGAAATAGTGTCCATGATTCAGTGTTTGCTGTATTAATAGCCTAATTCCTTTCGACATAACGAGAAAACAACCTGTAATTATCAATGAAAAATATTATTAACTATGTCCTAGGGCGTCAGTCAATGAAACTATATCCGATCGATTCTGACAGTATAAATATAAGTGAGTGAGTGAGTGAGTGTGAGTGGTTATTGTTGTCATGCTCGGTAACTTGGTTCATTGCCCGTTTTCGTACTGGACAGCGTTGGTGGACGCTTACAATATGCATCTTCGTGTTGACAAATCCCATCATACAGAGAGAAATTATGCTGAATATGGCGATAAAGTACAAAACAAACAAACAGTGCCTAGTACTGGAATCTGTACTTTACTGAGAAAGTGTAATCCCAAATATAACATACGTTACATTTGACCACTTTCTAAAATGGCATTGTGTATTTCATAGCTTTCGGCCGTGGGAGGCGTGCCAAATAACAATAATCAGAGGGGTACACAAAGTCCGCAGTCTAGACTACCAGTTGTCCGACTTCCATTTTTGTGGAAGCCGTGGTGGCTGAGCGGTCTAGGCGTCGGTGGCTGAGGGTGTGGGTTCGGATCCCGGATGGAACTCAACCCAGAACTAGAATCTGTACTTTACTCAGAAAGTGTAATCCCAAATATAACATATGTTAAACAGTGCTGAGAACGGCAAAGGATGTATTTTTAAATAGAACTGAGGAATCTGACGTACATATAAGCAACAGGTTTAGTTTTATTTTAGAATTCAGACCAAAAGGGGGACAAGCTGTTTCCACCCATTGTATGTAAACAACACACGGCAAATTGACGACGACGATCCACCTTATATTGTGGGTCTTGTGTCCAGTAGCCAATAATTAATTGCCTACCAACAGTCACCAAATGACTTGCTTAATAATGGCAGATATACACATTTTATGATGCATTCAAATATCATGATACACCAGACAAAAGTCTGACTCTCGCCGTTCAATAAACATCTGTTACGGCCACCAGAAGACAGAAATGTTGCCGATACGCAACTACAGGTAAATATACACCTACGTTATAAGTTTGGGCATTTTGAAACTGTGTTATTGAGATGGTAATCAAGGAATGCATACTGGTGAATAATTTTGTTTAAATCTAGTAACCTTTTAAAACGCATCAAAACTGTCCAAATGACCACAGTCTGATTGATCGTTTGTTTCTTTTCAGCCTCTTTAAGCGATCGGCGATTAACTGTGAGAATGGTGTTGCAGAGTTGAAATCCAGTATCCATACTGTGGCTGCCAAGGAGATCTGGTTTCAACACGTTACATATTATCCTGAAGAGTGAAGGTACAAATTACAAAGGGACATTCGACCCAGTTACGTGAATGTAAATCAACAACAGTGAAATAACGGGAAAATGGCCACCTTCCCTCCTGTCACAAAAGTAACTGCTGCTGTGTTAGGTTTAACAGTCGGATTATCGTTGGCGTCCATTTGTGTTGTGTTATTCAAAGCGGAACATTCCGACTTTCATCATTTCGTCTCGTCTATTGTGAACACTGTAAATTCACAAAATGTTCATTCAAGGGAGATGCAGAATCTATCGAAGGACTTCCATGAAGAATTTCCGAAGTCGCTGGAACAATACTTGTCTGGAAATATAAAATTCGGAGACCTGCATCTCCATAAAGGTGAGTTACGATTGGACAGTATACTCTGCCATCCTATTGAGTGAGAAGGTTGTATTGACGCCACTGTGAACAGTATGTCAGGTGATCAGAACGCGTCATCTATAAGCATGGAATGCAACCCTGAAATAGCGTCGGTCAAGTATGTTTCTGTCGTTTTGAAATTCATGAACATGGTGTTGATAAGTGGAGGATCTGACTGGGAATTCAAGGTAACGTTAATCGGATACTAAAACGTCAAACGGAGGCAACTGTGTACAGTAAACTACCGTACTACTGTTACTCCTTTCTGAAACAAAAATATATACATTTCTATTTATGCATATGATTCTCGGGCGAGTGGGTTTAAAAGATAGTTATGCATCGAAAATGTATTTCAGTTATATCATTGGGTTTAAACTTTATTGGACAGAAAATCCAACTGTCAAATTGCCCCACCAAAAAATGCTCCAGCAAATTAGGTGAAAATGCCCCATGCCCCCACTAGCTGACGAAGCTTGTTGCTGGGGTGACGGTCTCGGTCAGCTCTTTAAACGTATGACGGATCTCTAAAGCAGGGATAGAAGGCAAGACCATCAGTTTCAGATTAAATCGAAACACTGGTTTTTTCTCTGTATGCCACCATCATAATATGTACCTTCTTTGAATGTCTTCTTCAAGTATGTCCGAGAGGTTTTGTGTGTCTTTACTGTGAAGGGTATCTTCATCGGGGACACTGTCGATTGCCGATAAATTGACGTCAAAAGTAACCGTCCCGGCTATCTGCGAAATGATCCATCAGAGATGGTGCATGTAAGCGCTATAGGGGAACCTGTCCTGTCGGCTTCATCTTACCTCTTCTTGGACACTCTATATATATACTGTAGTTCCGCAGAGACTCTGTGTCCAGCCTTCACATTTATTTATTATGAGATTCGCCTTCACTTACTACCAATAAACATTTCCTGCTGTTGGTGGTCACCTTTTCAGTTGGAAGAAGTGAATGACTTGCACTTAATCCAAAATAAATTTATACAAGGAGTTGAAATGCTCATATGTCCACCCTGATCTAGCTGAGCAGAGTCTCAACATTTCCTCAACATACCATAGCATTGAATGTCAATTACTAAACATGATTTTATAGCCTGAAATGCTCATACATGTATGCTTAATCATGTTAAAACATTGGGGCAATTTGACCAATTTACTGTGGCATTTTGTAGCTGGGGCAATCGGGAAGTGCCAAGGGACAATGTATTCATGACCGGGCAGCCGTGTTTTGGAAATGTAACATTGGCACATAGTGACAGACAATAAGCAAAGTCACAGTGTGTGGTGACACGTCTTGGGGGGTACATCGGGGTTATTGTTACCTGGTATCTCACTCGGAAATGAAGCAGTAGGCATTAAGGTAAGTACCACAAAGTGTTAGTTTGGTTGTTACGTCGCTTTGAATAATATTTTCGGAACTATCAAGACATTGAGGTTAGAATTGACACGGTAGCGGACTGTGACGCGTGCTGTATGTGAAGGAGCGTTGTCATGCTGGAACAACTCCCTCTGTCGGTACATAATCGGAAGCATGTGACGTGCAAGGACTTCATTGATGTACCGATTTGCTGTCAAATTCCCGATGAACCACCACTAAATCAGATCTTTATGAGCAAGATATCTCACCTCACACCATGACACTGCCTCCACCCAATCTGTCGAGTGCAATTTCGACACGTTCATTTCACCGACTGTAAGCACGTTGTCTTCCATCTTGCCGGTGAAGAAGGAATCATGATTCATCACGGAACCAGACTCGCCTCAAGTTTCTAAGGTTCCAGTTCCAGACTCTACGCGATTGCGCCGATGGAAGTCTCTCAAAACTTGGGCGACAACTGGCCTTCTTGGTCGAATCCCCATTTGATGCAATCGATTCCTGACAGTTTGGTCAAACATTCTTCTCAAACAAGATATGCGTTGTGCAGTCTCTGTACTGTGGCAGGACAATGACGCAAGTGAACAACCCGGATAAAGAGGTCGTGGGCTTGTGTGGTAACTCTTGGACGCCCGCTTCTCGGGATCTTGGGCGGAATTAGTCTGCAGGACACGATCCCAAAGGCGAGGTATGGTGCTCTGATGAACGTTCAAATGTCCGCAACTGCAGACTGCGACTCCCCAGCTTCAAGGCGGCCTATGGCGATGTTTCGATTGGCGGCACTCAGTCGTGGCATGATGATTTACTCTTTGCCAGGCAAAACAAATGAAAACACTGAAACACAACGTTTGCCTTTTATAGTGATCGATACCGCATGCCATTCCGCTGTTACACTTTATGAATTGCCATGAAAAAAGGTTACTGAGTCCCCTTTGAACCAGCAAAAAGAACACAGACAAGTCTAAAATATTCAATAATATATTGAATAAACAATGAGCAAAGTTACAATGAATGATTTCTGGTGTCCCCTCCGTGATATTGCTGGAATATTGCTAAAAGCGGCGTAAAAACTAAACTCAGTCAGTCAGTACAATGAATGACAGTACAGATTTTCTAATACAATATTATAGATTTACAAATCTAAAATATTGACTAAATGTTCATAGTTACCACAGTCTGGATTCTTGTCGATGTGCTGATTGAAGATTTGTTGACGAGGTGAGTGAACGATGTTAGCAGACAGACAGATGAGGGTAAATCCAAAGCAGTCCTCAAAGTCGTTTGTCGAACATCTCAGAAACTACCGCTTATAATCCATTATATATATAGTTCTGGAGAAATCCAGCAAAAACGATGGCAAAAGACAAAGACGCTTCTCGAGCCTTCCGGAAGCAGAACATGAACAAACATCAACAAAGGGGCAGGTAACTTTAATCGCAGCTCCTCGGCCCACTCTCAACAGGTGGAATTACATAGTCTAGGGAAGGTGCGAGTTGAAATCACATTCAGCGCTTTAAACTTTTGTGACCCATAATAATGAAAAGTTAATCAATGTGGCATCTTAATATTAAAACAACACACACACACACACACACACACACACACACACACACACACACACACACACACACACACACACACACACACACACACACACACACGCACGCACACACACACACACACACGCACACACACTCAAAACACCGCTTACTAGCACGTGCATTTTGCTTTGCATGTTTTCTTGGTGACGTTTTGGCGAATATTCCTTCAAACACTTCTAAAACAAGAGAAATAGAATTGCCCCGTTTGGCGCTGAAGCTGTTTACAATCACACAAAGATGACGTTTGGAAAAGAAATAGTATATTTGTATCCTTTTTACCACAGCTACATAAATTCAATATTCTCAAAATCACCTATGCGTTTCTTTTTCTTTTGAAGAGTGTATTATGTATGGTGGGTGATAAGTTAGTCTGGTTTTCCTCGGCAGTAAGCATATTCATTCAAAGACGAGGCTCTGCAGAAATCGATTAATACTTTATATAACTATTATTTAATCGGTATTTTATACATTGAAAGTAAACAGACAATATATTTTGGCCGTTTTGTTATTTCGTTCGAGATTCAATCTGACGAACGTGAGAAAAAGGTCAATAGTCACTTTGGAGGTTGTTTCAGCGTCTATAAATGTGAGCAAAACGTTAACAGCTCCATCCCAGCCTGCTCTATAAGACAATGAGTCAACTATCTTTATACTGAACAAGCTTATAACGAACTGACGGATATATTAGGTCCGGCAATTTGATGTAATTTTTTAGTCGCAACGCTTATAATGAACTACGGGTATAACGAACTACGGGTATGACGAACTACGGGTATATAAAACTACGGTACAACGAACTACGGGTACAACGAACTACGGGTACAACGAACTACGGGTATAACGAACTACGATATAACGAACTACGGGTAAAGCGAACTACTGTACAACGAACTACGGGTATAACAAACTATGGGCATAACGAACTACGGGTAAACGAACTACGGGTATAACGAACTACGGGTATAACGAACTACGGGCATAACGAACTACGGGCATAACGAATTACGGGTACAACGAACTACGGGCATAACGAACTACGGGTATAACGAACTACGGGTATAACGAACTACGGGTACAACGAACTACGGGTATAACTAACTACAGGTATAACGAACTAAAGGTATTACGAACTATGGGTATAACGAACTACCGTGTGAAATTGTTTGGCGAGATAGCTCAAAGATGATTCCTGTTTTATTGGAACAGACAATGATGACATATCCAAGGCTCTGCATCGAAAGGCGAGAGTACTGTGCTGGATTATGACGTCACCAAAGAACCTGTATGTTAAAGCACGTGTAGTTCGTGACACGTGGGCTAGGCGCTGCAACAAAGTCCTCTTCATGAGCTCTGTGACAGATCCAAAGTTCCCTACAATCGGATTAAACGTGTCGGAAGGCCGGAAGCATCTGACGGCCAAAACGATGCAGGCTTTCCGCTACATCTACGAAAACCACTTTGATGATGCTGACTGGTTCATGAAAGCTGACGATGACACATATGTTATTTTAGAAAATCTCCGATACTTTCTGACGTCACAAAACAAATCCGAACCTGTATTTTTTGGCCACCATTTTAAGGTAATTGTCAAACAAGGGTACTACAGTGGCGGAGGAGGGTATGTGCTGAGTAAGGAGGCGTTGAGGAGATATGGGGAGAAGGGACACGATCCCACACTGTGCAGGCCTGATGGTGGTGCAGAAGATGCAGCGTTCGGCAGATGTATGGAGAACCTGGGGGGTGAGGACAGTCAACACAACAGACGCCTCGGGAGGAGCAGATTCCATTGTTTTCGGCCTGAGATGCATTTGGCGGGTACATACCCACGGTGGTTTTACAAGTACGATGCAAATGGTGCTAAGAAGGTAAGTGAAACACAGTATGTTATGTTTATCTAAAGGAAATCTGTGTGTATCTCATCAGAATCAGAAATTTTACTTTGGTACCGTACTAAACCTTTCTGGCGGTTGGTCAGGTGAATCATCCAGTCAGCATCGGCGGCGGAAGCCTGTATTATCCTGCTTTAAAGCGACTCAAACGAAGCAGTTTAATGCTGGAAGTCTTAAATAAGCCAGATGTAGTGTAAACTGTTGAGAAATCTGGATACATCTGTTTTAGGCAAATCTGTGATCTATGTACTGTATCTAGATTTTTTATCAGAAAATATAATGAAAATTTGAATAGTGGAAAATACACGTCAACAGTGTTTCCTGTCTAACATATCGTCATCACTTGAATATAATGATTTGAGGCACGGAAAGAGCTATTAGAGTCAGATGCACTTCATCAACGTCTTTTCTACACATATCATGGGATCAACTTTTTTTAAAAGTAGGGGCTAATTCTATGCATGCCTGGAGCAGCCTTAATCATATCAACCGAAAACATATTTTCAATGATTAAAATGACCAAATCTCCAAACCTCAAATATATAACAATACATATTAGTAGTATATACATTGTATTCACTTATATGAAACAATGTTACATTTCCGCTCTTCATATACATATCAAATAGTCCATAATAGAAGCTTTGGGGAGAATAGAAGACGCAGATTATCAGAGTGTATAATTGATTCTGTTGGTCGGTTCGAAAGTTATGATGATACATCTGTCGGTGTCCGTCGATCACGTGATAGTGTCATCAACAGATTTGATCACGTGTTGATGAAATTGTGTTACACATTTAATTTGTTTATTGTAAACGGTCGCGTGACTGGTGATATGTCAGGCGAGTATACACACTGCGGGGGAAGTGGTTGTAGTGTAAATGACTACTTTGTCTCCTCATCCGAGTTTTCAAAAATACGTTTCCTTCCTAAAAGTTGGTGAACGCCAGGACATAGATCATTTTCCCCTTGAAATACTGTGTAATTTTTCTATTCGTGAACAAATTTCTATTTTCTTTTCTAAACATAGATTGCATCCTCAATGAAAAAATAGTTTGGAATGATTACAGTTCCGGTGTATTATTAACACACGCACGAGAAAAATTGTCGTCAAATCATTTTTCGCTACTTAGAAACTGAAATGTGTACAATATGACTCGAAGAAACCACGTCTACCTACAAAATGTAAGGCTGCTGAGAAGGACGCCCGTAAAGCTCTGAGAAGTTTTAGAAAATATCGTACAAACGCTTATAGAGTAATACTGTAGAAAACGAAATATATTATATAGAACCTGCTGCAGAAAGTTTAAGGCTGACCTAAATAAAGGATATATTGACAAATTAACAAATACTATCTTCTGGCCATCACAGTTTGGAGACAAATAAAACTCCTGAAAAGTCCTAGAACTACGCCAGAATATATTTCAAAACAAGTGGTTTACGCATTTCAAAGAATATTTTCAAATGAAGAAACGTATGACGTTCTAAATGTAAATGTTAACGTTAACGATAATATACACCGTGCACCCTATGAAGATGTGGACGAATTATTATTGGAATCAGCCATAAGTTATAGTGAGATAACCAAAGCTATTAACCATTTGAAATTACGAAATAGCGCCAGACCTTGATAATATCTTAGCAGAAATGTTTAAATATTCCAGGCCTGAAAATATGCCATGCATTAGAAATATTTGTAGCAAAATCTTTGGAGCAGAAATGTTTCCACATTTATGGGTGTCCTCTGTTATAATCCCGTTACTTCAGAAGGGGGACAAACAATCCAGACTACTATAGGGGCATATCACTAATGATTATTGCGCAGATCGATGTTCATGCTGTTGATCACTGGATTGTCTCGTCCAGACTCGATTATTTACAGACCGCCGCCATATGGCCTTCTGGAATATTGCTGAGTGCGGCGTAAAGACTAAAGATTACTCACTCACTCACTCCGCTACGCTTACGATGTAATATCAGTATCAAAGAAAAGGCTCTGTCTGCCGAAAATAGCCCACACAAAATGCTCCCACACTTATACAATGTAGGTATTATAACATAGCCTTCACATATTCAGAAACCTTGTATTCTCTCATACGGTTATGGCATTGTCATCCCCAGGCGGTTGGCAATGTTCGTATACATGTATTTTAAATGAATTCAGGGAACGCTCCATATATTTATATGCCTGTGCTTCACAGGTGACATTCGAATTTACACGAAATTACACGAATCATTAAGATCGTATACAAAGTCTACTTGAACCCAGAAAAAGATCTTTTCATACTAACCACCTCTGGAAAGTTGTGCGAAATAGCCGCTGGCCCGCTGGCCCGTGGTGGCTACTGAAGAAGGATCAGTCGGGCCAGTAAAGCTCCACAGTCACTTCAGTCTGACTGTCTAGTGAATTTTGTAGGTTTCATTTTTGAAATATAACACACACTCCGATTTGTTAAGTTATAACACACTTTAAATTCATGTACAAGATTATGGCCGGATAAATGTTGATGTTTTACCTTGCTTAGTTTTCTATATTCAAATTTCGGGGTAGTGAATTATTCTGTGGGCTAGTAGCTTTCAGGCAAAGCTAGCTCGACTGGCCTAATAAAGTTGGAAACTAGCTAGCACACTGTACAGAGGACGTAATTTGTCTGAAGTCTTATGTGACATGAAAGTTCCTTCAAGTATTTGGTGTTGTTAGTATGTTTCCAACTGCATTAAACAATATTATGCTACTGATGATAGTAGCTTTTTATGATGATGTAACAAATCGATATGATATGATCGGAAAGGCATTATGGCTCTATTATACTGACACTTCGAAGCCTGTTCCACATGTTACACGTGTCACACATTGCGGAATAAAGAGCTTCAACGTGTTTCCGATATGGTTTACTACTTGTCACAAAGAACGGCCTCTCTGTATCTGGGTAAACAACATTGTCTGACAGCTGTAACTTCTTCCATCGTCCTTCTATTAAACTACTCACTTTCTGCATTTGCGATGTAGATATTCGCAGGACGGGTTTTAGTTATTGTTGAATCGTTTGGAATTTCCATCCACATCACTTTAAAGAAGGATAAGAATACATGGATGGATAACTTCCTTGCAACAACAGGAATGGCATTTCGGCATAGGTTTTATATATTCTTATCTTTCCTTTGTACTCCTAAATGCCCGCCAAAGCCTCTCAGAGAAGTTATACACAGTGCTTTACACATTATAGTAAATCAAACCCACTCACTCACTCACCGTTCATTAAAAGATAAAGAGGGTGGTGGGGGTAGCCTAAAGGTTAAAGCATCCTGCTCGTCAAGCTGAGGACTCGGGTTCGATTCCCCACATGGGTACAATGTGTGAAGCCCATTTCTGGTGTTCCCCACCGTGATATTGCTGGAATGTAAACCATACTACTCACTCCAAAGATCAAGTGCTGGGTAATGAGTGTAGGTCTAAGAGTATAAAGAGAAGTTTATACAGTATCATTGCAAGCACATCAGCTTGTTTCTCTGGTTTATCATAATCCTCTGTGGGAGAAGACGAGTGACGGAGTGATAGTATTGTCTTCACCATCAGTAACAACGCATGCATCATGCTCTTGTATATAAAGTTGGTTCTCGATTCTCCCGATTGAGTTGTTTTGTCTCTACATTTCAGTGTAACGTCATATTAAGTCCAACCGTCCACCTGAAAACAAAACGAATAAGCATGGAACATTTGACTACAATTGAAAATACGCACTTGTCAATTATCAGTTATTCCTCTGCTTGCCCTTGGCGACGTCAAGGTTATATCCTGATTGTGATAAAGTACTTGACACTCTTTCGTACATGCATTTGCTGCCTCTGTCACAAAGGACAAATGTCTCAGAGTGAAGGTTCAGTGCTTCGATTCCCGAGCCACGTCACCAATCCACGTTAAAGATGCTACTTGTTGTTACTTCTGGCTGGCGCTGGTCGTTCCGGGGATGAATGAACTATCTTTGACTGGGGGTATCCATGTTAAACTGTGTCATAGGATGTCAATTGGCAAACACTGTGTAAAACATGTCAAAACGCCACCGTACTTCACTATTTTGACTGCATAAGCGCTAACATTGGGCGTGGGATTCTCGCAGACGCCAATCAACTTTGCTTATTTTCTGTCCTCAGGTAACTGACTCTTTAGGAGTTGCACAATCGAGTGGCCTCATATGTCCAGAGTGTTGAAGATGTCACATAAACATCTTTACAATAATACTGCTTGTTGAAGTGATAGTAAATATTTTACAATCATAATAAGAGTCTCCACATTTGTATCAAGTCAACTTGTTCTTACAGAGGGATTTTACACCTTGACCGAACTTCACGATAGTTGGAAACAATAGAATAGAATTAAGAACCACAGCATTAAAAATATCAATGATATAATTTGCTTGGTACTGGGATGTCAAAGAGGCAAAAGATATATGTTTAAAAACAGTTTTTACATACAATTTAAAACATAGGCTTACAACACTATTACGTGCATTAAAGTAGCATGGGTTTTCACAATATTACATAAATTTTAAAACACTGGCTACGTCAATGCTCTGTTCAATGAAAATCATGAGCTATAATTAATAATATTTTCAATTAATAACATGGGCTGCAACACGGTTTTACCGAAATTAAAAGGCGAGCTATAACAATAATATTTTCAATTAATAACGCATGGGCTGCAACGATTTTACCGAAAATTAAAATAGGCTATAACAATAATATTTTCAATTAATAACATGGAAGCAACGATTTTACCGAAAAGAATTAAAAATGGGCTATAACAATAATATTTTCAATTAATAACATGGGCTGCAACGATTTTTACCGAAGAATTAAAAATGAGCTATAACAATAATATTTTCAATTAATTACATGGGCTGCAACGTTCCAACCTTATTACGTAACGCC